CATTTTGTTAATTTAAGCTTAAAGAAATGTTGATTTATTTAATCGGTATTCCGAACATTGATGTTTCTCCTAATCTAATCCCAGCAGGTAATAAAATATCGAACGAATAAATAAATTAAATATTTAAGAAATTATTTAACGTAAAAAATCTCCAATTTGGCAAAAGTTTTTCATTCAAATCAAATTCATTGAAATAAATAATTATCAGTTCTTGAAAAATGTTCATAATCCCTGATAAAGCAGCCTTGGAGTAACTTTACAAAGATTAAAAATAGATTAAAAACGCTTTTAATATCACAAAACTGTCGCTTTTCTTTATATTGACATTCTGCTCCATTTTCATAATTAGCATAGAAGGCGCTGGCTAAAATAAGGACGAAACCTGAGCATCAACAATTGGGACTAACTGTTAGAAACTCATATCATTTCTGAAAATAGATTATTATTTGCTAAAAAGTGTTATTTAATGTAAAGACATGAAATTTCGAAAAAAAAAACAGCCTGGTAATATATAAAAAATGTAAAAATATTTATCAAACGATTTGAAATCTGATGCTAGCTTAACACGCAAAAGGTTGCAATGGATACTTAGTTCTAATTTCGTCATACGTTCTAAAAATGTTTATGCTTCGGTTCAGATTAATAATTTCTGCAATCGTTCTTAGATATCGATTTCCATTTCTTCGAAATAGTTTTTGGGTAAGAAATGTTATTTTGTTGCGATTCTCTATCAGATGCATTTTTTATGCGATGCCATTAGAATTCCTGGAATCGCCGCTAAAGTTTTCAAAGCTAATTATTACACAACATAAAAGTAATTGTTTACGGTATTTGATGTTTGCACACCGTTTTATGAAGGAAAATTATATAAATTGATTTTCGGTGATATTAGGCTTTCGGTTATGGATTATATTGGGCTTATGGCATATGATATTTTTCAAGGCATAAGTAAGATTGCGTACTTTCAGTTTTATAAAACCAATTATAACACAACATAAAAATAATTGTAAATTTTGCTACTATCTGGATTTTTTTTCAATGTCCATAATCATTATTTGAAAGAAATTGGTTAAATAGTTCCTGAACTATTCCATTACGGAAGTGTTTTAATCAAATGCATTTTTAAATTACTATTATTCAGGATTTGTCATTTAATTTTCTTTCCTTTTTCAAATTTAAAAAATTGAACAAACTGAAACAATGTAAAATTTAGACAATTTAATAGATTTTTAAACCTAAATAAATTAAATAATAAATGTAATTAAAGATCATTTTTGAAAAGCACGTTTTAACTTGTTAAAACATTTTTTTAAATAAAAAAAATGAGCAAGGAGTATTCGATTTGTATAATAAGTTACAGATTTGTTATCCAAACCAAGCGTAAAAAATTAAATACCCCTAGAGCAGTGGTTTGTAAATAATATTGGCTGTGGAACCCTATGAGATCGAGTTGTTTCCAATTTCTCAAAATTACTGAAATGTTAAATAAATACTAGCTTATTGTTTCGATACTAGCATATTTCAGGTTTCAAAGAAATTATTACTCTTTGAAAAGGAAAAGAAAAAAAACGTCCCCACTCATGGACTTTTTCCCGGAACTCTAGTGTTCCGCTGTCCTAAGGCAGAATATGTACCAAACCATAAACTATAAGACTTTCTATTTACGTAAACTAAATTGCTTTTTCAAAATTAGGCAGATTTATGCAATATATTTTTTTTATCTATTTCCTTTTTTCATTCAATATGACAAGAAGTATTCTTCGTTCATTCAATATAACTATAAAATTTTTGCTATAACAAGAACTATTAATAGTGATTGATTCTGCGTCAATTTGTCGTGGCGACAGATCATCGTGGCAACAATGGGTCGTATCAATTCGTTGCGGAGACAATGGGATTCTTGTAAGTGACGTAGTGTGGGTATCTCGATCCTGATTGGTTGTTGAAACGTGGATTTGTTTACGTTAGAAACTGTTCTTTCCATTTTATTTCGAGTAAGCCAAGCCCGTCAAGTATCAATTCTTTTAAGTGAATCATTCTAAATTCTTTCACAATTAATGTGTAGTCATTCAAATGTTATGAAAGCATTAAGTGAAGAGGGTTTGCTTAGTGTGATTTGCTTATTTTTTCTAACATAGGGGTCGATGTGAGGTATGAGCAATGCTTGCTTAACACGTGAAAACCCCTTTATTTCATTTTGTTTAAATGAAAAAAAAAACTGAAAAAATATTAAACTTGAAAAGTTTTATATTTGAAGTAAAGTTATATGACGGGAAAGAAACAATTGTAAAAAAAAAAAAAAATTCTTTAATGAAGATCAAGACTTTAAACCACTGAAAAAAGAAAAGCACAAAAAATTCCTAAAGTATAAGATTTTATAAAATACCAGGGGGCTACGCCCCATGTTCGCTGCCACTCACCAGCCTCGATGATTGCTATGCAATAATTGTTGTTTCTTGGCAGAAAACAGTTTTTCTACTAAAGTTAAAATTATTCACTTAACATACATATATATGTAATAAAAAGAGTTCTGTTTGCTTACGCTTGTGCCTCCACTTCCCACGTCCAAATATTGTTAACTACTATTATTATAAATATCGGTGAAAATGAGTTCACAATCGTCATTGAATATTTTCAACAGAGGTTTTTTAACCAACCTTTTAACCAACCAAACGTGCGGATATATTGAGTACTATTTTTGCTTGCATTGTGCATGAAGTTGATGGCAAAGTTCTAAATCATTCAACAGTTGTATTTAACAGCAATTATTAACAGTATATTAATTCATTAGATTTTTAAGAAATTAAAGCGTAAATTTAGTTCGATGCAAAGTTACGTTTTTCATTTAGATGTGTTTCTAAAATGTGATTGCAATAAATGTCTAAGTAAAGAACGAGGAGAGTGAACGATGAGAATTTCTTACTTAAGCCTGGGAAGGAGTTGATAATTTTCTTATTTTGCTGAGAAATTGCTAAAAACATTTTAACATAATATTTGAACGGCCCTTTTTAATACAGTCAAACCCCGCTATAATGAACCTTCAAGGGACCGAAATTTCAGTTTACTATAACCGGGAGTTCACTATATCCGTTACGCAGGCAATTTCATTAATGGTTCCCAAACTCCTCCCTTTTATTACATTATATTCATATAAATGACTGAAAAGTATTATGTAGTAGCAAAAAATGTGTTATTTTTCATCACTTTTCGTCTTGCGTACAAATAAAAATTAGTAATCTTTAGCTGATGAGCAATCCTCAACATCAGATATGGAAACACTTCCCGACTCTCAGATAATTTTTCCTGAATTTCTGTTATTCCGCTTTTTAAACCTGTCTAACCTGCCATTCGAGCGCATAAAAGTAGTTTCTATTGATGGTTTTAACAAAATCGGTATATGTATTTATTTTGAAGTAGAAATTTCATAATTATTACAAAGAAAATGGGGGGTGGGGGAATCAGTCGAAGACAGAAAAAAGTTCATTATATCCAACTTCCTCACTTTTTTGGTTCACTATATCCACTAAAAATAACATTATACGTGTATAGCAAGGCACGGGACCGAGCATTTCGTTCACTATATCCGGGAGTTCACAATAAGCCGTGTTCACTATAGCGGGGTTTGACTGTATTTCGTTTTAGTTTAAAAATAACAAAATTTTCAGTTTTTGTTCAGTTTTTTAACCCTTATTAATATTTTATCCCTTTATTAACCCTCTTGCGGTCGTATGTCTACTCTCTGCCACTTACGCTTTTTTTACCGTTTCAGTCATATGTATGCTCTCAACCACAGCAAACATGTTAGGCCACAGCTTAATGTCAAACTACATATATTGCGGCACTGTGAAGATGTAGAGATTGTTCTGTACGTCCAAAGAGAAAAATTAAAGGCGGAAGACGCCAAACTAATTATTTGAGACACATTATCTCGAAAACCAGGGCTTCCTATTGGAGATGGCTTTGAAAGACGATGGAGAATTATAATATATAATTTTTACGAAAAAAATAATAATAAAGCATATTGTGTTACATACATCTAAAGTATATAAAAAAAAAATCATAAATTTTATTTTCCTTCATAATCTTGCATGTTATGTAGTACTTTGTTCGTTCAACGAAAATGAATTCCGACCAGCATGGCATCCATGGGTAAACTTAATACGACCGCAAAGGGTTAAAGGATGTCAATTAATTATAGATTTAAAAATTAAAACACGCGTAACATTCTTTTCTTTTTATGAAATCACTTTATTTAGCGAACTTGTCACTTGCGCTGATCAGAAACGAATCAGCAATAAGTTAACATCTACTTATTCGTTATAACAAAGAAAAAAAAAGCATGAGACAGACTCATTTACAAAAAACCCAACTCATCGACCCTAACGAGACAGGTAGGAAAACCCAAACTCAGACGATGCCTTAGATGTTTATGTGCGATCCATGAATTTTTCCTTTGCTACGGCAAGAATTCCATGGCAATAGGCCAATTTCATTTATTTAAATGGAAACTCTTACGCATTCAACACTTAAATGATGCGATTATAGAATTCAATACACATGTTATGTAATTGGCTGACACAATTATTATATAAAATGATGAAATATATATCAAAAGTCTAAGAAAACTAAAGGGTCGATAAAGCCTAAAAATTTTTTTTGTGAACTTCGTCAATTATGTTCCAATTTGATTAAAATCTTCATATATCGCATAAAAAATTGCACAAAAAGAAAGAACTGCACAAGGAACTAGAAATAGCTGTCGTAAAAATTTTTTTCGTCTCATCTTTAAAAGAATCTATTCGGTATTTTTCATTCTCTCGCGCCCCCCCCCCCGAAGAAAAATGCATACAGTAGTGAATCGCTGTAGAAAATATGAAATGTTATTGTCCTGATTGCGCAAAACTTAAAAAATTCACACTGTTTCTGTGAATTTTATTCGCTATTTCCCATCTCATATCTTCCATTGATTTTGGCGACTTGGCTCATTTTCGAATTACAGTAACCTCTTCTTGTCAAATCTTCACGCATGGCGGTTCTGAAAACACGAATGTCACTTTTATAATGTAGACAAAACGGGAAAGAACACATTTTTCGCTTTCGCTTATTATTGAATTGTTACGTGACTTTCAATGGGAAATTATTTCTTTCTTTCTTGGCTGTTTTGTACGGTTTCTTGTGTGTATTGGGTGAAAGGAAAGGTGACGATGAATGATATGGAAGATGCGAGCGAAGTCACGTGGGCACATGCTGTCAACAGCAAGGCTGATCTTGAAAGAGAACTAGCAGGTGACACATTTTTTTCAAAAATTTTGTTTACAAATGACTCGGCTTTTAAAAAAATACTAACAGCAAATAAATATAAATAGATAAATATGAGTAGATAAATATAAATAGATAAACGTTAATAGATAAATATAAATATATAACTAAAAATTTATAATTATAAATAAATAAATGTAAATGAATAAATAAAGAGAGAAACAAAGAGATATATAAAATGTTTATTTGTTATCGCGTGTTGTTATGAACTATCATCCTGTCAATTCTTCCCAACTTATAGCTCAGTTTGTTTCGGCTTTTCGTTGACCACACAAGAAAAGAAATGATAACTATTTTTTTTCCAGCTTCATATAATCAAGGAATTTGCCTAGGAGTTACCCTAAAATAAATTATAAAATACTTAATTTTACTATTTCACTTTAAAATACCTCAATTACACCAATCACATCAAGTTTTATTTTAATAAAAACTATAAGAATTGCGCGATTTTTTTAAGACGCCTCTATTCCCCGCAATCTTCGATTTTAGGTTAAATTTTTGATTTTCATTTTTTTTTAAATATTTTTTTTGGGCTTATTTTATTATTTATTTTTTATTTTCTACTTATTTTTATTTTAAGCTATAATTTAGCATTATTCGACTTTCGATGATTTAAGTATCATTCTACAACCCAATTACTTTTTAAATAAATGTTTTTGTTTTTTACTTTACAAACTTCCGCTAATTTGGTATTATTCGACAACGCAATTACTTTTTTTAAAAAAATACGGAAAATATAGGGGTCTCTGCTGTGCTAGATTACGTAAAGTAGCTCTTCATAATTTTTTGTATTTCCATACATTTCTCCTCAAAACTTGGGAGAATGCGATTTGAGGTTTTGAGTTAGTCATTAATAACTACCAGTTTTTAGATTTTTTAAATTTTTTATTTTATTCCAGTTTAAATGGATGAAAATCGATTTGGATGATGCTGAAAAATTCTTTTGACGTAAATCACGCGAAAATAAATGATTAGAATCATCAAAAATCTAAAAACAGACAATTTAACTCAACCTTTCGAAAACTGCTGAATTGTCAGAGTTATATTAGAATAATTTTGTCAGAAAAATGCCTGGATTTAAAATTCCGCACGTTTTATGACGCAAATTCTGATTGAGAAACGTTTGTGAAATTTGCATGTATCGGAAATATACAACCAAATTGAGCACACCATCAGTTTATATTGTGAAAACTCAATAAATGAAATTTAAAGTATACATATTTAGATAAATCAACTACCCTGAATAACTTGTGTTCTAATAACCTTTATGTACTAGGATTCATAATCAATTTAAATAGTTTGTTTGAGGGGATCACTTCAAATAAACTAATTAATTTGGGCAGGCGATACTTTAAGTAACGAAATCTGAGAGAAAAACATATTTTCTGTAAATGAACGTAGTCCTTTTTTTTTCTTGAGGAATCGAATTTTAAATATCTGACTTTTTTAAATTCAAATTTTCACGAACTATTTAAAGAATTTTGTTCAAATTTTGCATTTCGCCATAAAAAAGTAATTTTTTTAAAAAAATGACCTAATAATTTGTATATCTTACTACTCAAAAATTTTCAGACTATTATTAAATAAAATTATCAAGAATTATAGATAGTTATTAGAATTATTTTTCATGCGGAATTAGCTTTGGATAATCGAATTTTATAACGACGAGTAAAATTTTTTAAAAATTCGCTTAAAATGTTCTAGAGTAATAATGAAATGCGCAAAGAATAAAGGAAGGGACTCAAGCTTTGGACCGCTCTGCTTATCAAACTATTAGGACCCTATTTTCCAGATTGCGGTTACCTCCTATATTTTGGAGGTCAGATATCAAAAAATAAATAAATAAAAAAGGGAAAAAAATATATTTATTCAGAGAAAGAACGTTTTTGTGCCAGATTTCGTAACTTATAAATATCGTCTGCTCTCATTAATCAGCCTATTTGAGGTCACCCCCTCGAACTATAAAGATTGAGTCTTAGAACGTAAAGATCCGATCATTCGATCAAAAGTTGTTAAGAGTGGTCCGTTTTTTATGATGCGCACTGTACCTACAACAATGTAATGACAAAGGAAAAATGTTGGGTAGGTTTTTTTCAGGCTAAACTCGCTCTTTTTTATTATTGCGAATCATCAGCAGAAATCCGAATTGGTTGAAAGAAAGGTATGTTTATTCTAAGAAAGTACGTTTTTGTGTCAGATTTTGTTACTTAAAATAATGTCTGCACTAATTAATTAGCATATTTGAGGTCACCTCTCTAAACATTTTTGGGTGGACTGTACATTAATGAACGAATATACATTTATTTTCGGGATTTCTAATATAATATTAATTAAAAAAGTTTAATTTGGGATATTATGAGTTTTTATTGTTATAAAGTAATTTTAACTCCTATAAATTCAAGAAAAAGTTGGATGTATGAAAATAAAAGTCATTTTAAATAAAAACAAGGGAGAATGAAAGTTTACTAATGATTAAAAATTACTTTTCTAACTATATGCAAGACAATCCTGCAATGTTTCTGCAATTTGTTTTGATTATAGCATAAATAATTGTGAAGTTGTTCTGATTTCAGTAGCCTGTCCTTTAAAATTCGTTTTTTTTAGAAATCAATTTTTATCACGATAAGATTTCTGTTTAACTAGCAAAAACATTTGTTATTCAGATGGGTACTGATTGCAATTTAATGATTTTTACGTTTATCGTTCTAGAATTTGTCTGTCATGAATTAAATCAGTAGATCAGCATTTACTAGCATACTGTTCGTTTTCAAAATGTGAATGAAATGCATATTTTATTTAAGATTAACTTTTTAAACTGCTGTCTTCTGTTAATTTGAACATTACCTTAATTAACCACAACTGTTCATCTATTTTTTTTATTGTATAAACGATTTTTTTTAAAATTAAATTTTATAGCTGTCAAAGTCGATTAACAGTTTTTGAATTCAAAAGAATTTCTAAAAGAGAAAGAAGTCAAAAATGCAAGTAAAATGCAATTTTTCTTTATTCTGCATACTATTATACGTTGTACACACTATTTTAATGAGATAAAAAATTTTGTCAAAAATCAATATTTTGTTATTAGCAGCTCAAAAATTTTTACGTTTGTTTTTTCCCTAAGTTCGCAATGATAAAAAAAGAGCGAGTTTAGCCTGTTATTTAAAAAAAAAAACCTACAAATTATTTTTTTCTTAGTCATTGCATTGTTGTAGGTACAGTGTGCATAATAAAAAACGGACCACTCTTAATAACTTTTGATCGAATGATCGGATCTTCATGTTCTGGGACTCATTCTTAATGGTTTACATCAAATAGGCTGATTAATAAGTGCAGACGATATTTTAAGATAGGAAATCAGACACAAAAACGTACTTTCTCTTAACAAACATACTTTTTTTTTCGCTAACGGATTCGAATTTCTGACCCCTTAAAAATAGGGGGTAGCCGCAATCTGGGAAATAAGACCCCCATAGTTTGGTCAGGAGAGCGATCCGAAGTTTGGGCCTCTTAATGTTAATTTTACTTTTTGTGTATTTTGCCATATCTAGAGAATTTTTTAAGTGAATAGAAAAATTAATGCACGCTACTATAAAATTCTTTTATCAAAAGATGCAAAAAATCCAAGCAAAGAATAAATTTTATTAAATATTTATTATTTTTTATCATTTTATTTAATAATAGTCAAAAAACTAGTTAAGACAAATAATAACAATTAAACAAAAATATTAATAACTCCCCCCCCCCATTTTTTTCCGTTTATACCGAAGAGCCATTACATTATGACCACCCTCCATCTATAACAATGGGCTCGTCCAGGTTTTTATGGTTTCTCACCCAGGAACAATGTTTTCATGGGGCACATTAGGACCTATAATCTTCATAGAACAATCCCTGACTTCTGTAAGCTATTTGAACATAGTAGCAGACCAGGTTCACCCACTCATGGCAACAGTTGTTCCTGCGGGGGATGGTGTTTACCAACAGGATAGTGCAATATGCTATAAGGGTCGAATCGTCATGGATTGGTTCGAGGAGCATTCCAGTGACTTTCAAGTCATGTCCTGTCCTCCAAATTCACCTGACCTTAATCCAATAGACCATTTGTGGTCCTACTTGGAAAACCAAATTCGTGCTGCCACGCTAACCCCTCGCAATGTGAGGGAATTGCAGGACCAGTTGGTGAGAGCTTGGTACCAGATACCTCAGACTACCTATCAGCACTTTGTGGAATCAATGCCACGGCGGCTGCTAGCAGTTTTGAGGGCTAAAGGTGGTCCTACGTGTTATTAGCAGGGTGATCATAATGTAATGGCTCTTCGGTGTATATATATATATATATTCTAGAGACCAATGTGTTGCGGTCTTAAGCAAAAATAACATTGCGTTGCTATCGTTCATCAACCCCCGTAATTTATCACGCTGTTCATTTCATACATTTGACACTTCATAATTATTATATTATTAGATTTGAAATCTCATATTTATGTTTGCTTTGAAATTATGTTTGATTTAAAATCTCAACAATTATCACAAAATGTAACATATTGTTGGAATAAAGAGAATGGCAAATTTCCCAATTATTAAAATGAGAATATCTTTCTATCTAACACATCATTGATAGTAGCTATGAAAATAAATTTATTGTGATTATTAGTTTTTTCTTTACATAGAAAAGTCCTCAATTTAGCTCCATCTAATTATGGGGCTGAGACTATTGTTTTACGGTGAAATCTCTAATATTTTTAGGGCAGAATTCTACATTAGCTTTCAACAAAATCTGTAATTTTTGAGGAATTTATTTTAATCATTTAAAATGATTTTTATTTATTTAAAAACTTTTTCCCCACCAATTAACCGAAATTTTTTTTACAAATTGTAATTGAGTGAGCGAGTCTGTTATTAGTCTATAATAGAGTTTGGCAATGTATCGACATTTTTAAAACATCGCAATAATGGTATTTAAAATA